CCCTCAACCCGAAACCCTGAACCCCAAACCTTAAACCCTAAACCCTAAATCCTAAACCCTAAACCTTAAACCCTAAACCCTAAACCCTAAAACCTAAACCCTAAACCCCCTGTTTTGCTAAAGGTTTCCGGCCTCACAGGTCAGAGCTAAGTTCTCAGGACAGAAGGGCTCAGTTGTTTTTTCTCCTAGGTTCGATGAATAAAAGTGACTATACGGGATAATAAGGATTACATTAAGATCCTATTATCTTCCTACTATACCACTATTACAGGGTTGGGGGTCCTCCTAAGGTTCACCTAGAACCCCAAAATTAGGTAGAATAATAGCCCAAAACACCTAAATCTAGCCCCAAAGGCCATTGTTCTACATACTTTTGGGGTTCAGGTAGGGTAGTTTAGGGCTCATGTTTGGGGGTTTAGGGTTGGGTTTGAATTTGTTTTTGGGGTAGGCAGGGTTCAGGGTGCTTTGGGCTTGGGATTTGATCTGAAACAACATTTGAGGTCATTCGTCATGAAACCCCTAAACCCCTAAGCCCTAAACCCCTAAACCCTAAACCATCGGACACACTTAGCAATTCCAGGGCCGGCTGGGATGAGGCAATGATTACAAAAAGCCGGGCGGCCAAATGGGTTTACTTTTTAAAGGCACAAAAAGAGAGAAAGTCCAGCGCTCCACACACCGCAGCGCACAGGCGCCAGCACTAATCAATTGGGGCCCTTACATACCCGAAGCATACTCTTTTCAGACTTCACATTTTCTGTGCTTAAACTCCACCCACACACCGTGACACCCTGCACAATTTCGATACCTTACATATTGAAACCCTACATGCTGGCTGTGAGAAGGCGATCGAGCAATGGATCTGTTTAGTAGCCCCATGTAATCCACTCCAGTCTACCTGAACCCCAAGAGCATGTAGAATTATGGCCTTGTGGGCTATACTTAGGTCTTTTGGGCTATCATTTTACCTACTTTGGGGGTTCAGGTAAGAGTAACCATAGTATTTTCCATTCCTTCGTTTCCTACCCCAAGCCCCAAATCCTACACCCCATACTAGCTTCAATCTTCCTATCTATTCCTTCATTCCCTACTGAGTCTCCTCCGTACCCTGTTATCCGGGCCCTGACCGCCAAACCCTAACCCTAGACCCTTAAACCCTAAACCCGTAGTGTAAACCTTGTCACCCTACACCCTTGATTACTGTAAACCCTGAACACTAAACAGTAGTTTCCATTTTCTTGCCCATTATCCCTATATTCCCCTTACGTCGTAGTTTCCATCTTATTTTCGGCTATCCCGAAACCCTGAACCCTAAACCCTAAACCCGAAACCCTGACCTCACTCCGAGGTACTTATCCTGGAGGAGCCTTGGGAGACTGTCGGCCTTGTGGATGGTAGCGTTGCCTGCAGTGATACTGAAATTCAAGGATTAGGGCTTAGGGTTTATGATTTAGGGTTGAGGGTTTCAGGGTTTAGGGTTTATGGTTTGGCTTTAGGATTTAGGGTGTATCATTTAGGGTTTAGGGTGTATGATTTAGGGTTGAGGGTTAAGAAACTGGCGAAAGGTTTACGGTTGGGATGCTGGTATGTAGGATTTAGGGTTGAAATACTGGCTGAGGCTTCAGGGCCGCAATGCTTTTAAAAACCCTAAACCCTAAACCCCAAAACCTAAACCCTAAACCCTAAACCCTAAACCTTGCGTAGGCTTCAGGGCTTAGGGTTGTCCTGTCCTTCAGGGTCCAGTTGAGGGCTGGTAGCTACCTGAACCCCAAAAGTATGTAGAATAATGGCCTTTTGGGCTAGTTTTAGGTCTGTTGGGCTGTTAGTTTACCTACTTTTGGGGTTCAGGTAGTAGAGAATGGACAAGACAATCTGAAATAGAGTTTTAGCCTTAACCCTAAACCCATGACTCAAAGTGCTGCATGCCTTCTGCATGAGGGTATGCTAGGGCCATGCCGGATGTGTAAATGTCACGCGGTTTAGGGTTTAGAGATTATGGCAGTGCAACAATGCTGGAAGTAGTATACTATTGATGCTGCGGCCAGAATGCAAGAAATACCAACAAGAGTAGTTGCCATTTTCTTTGCCATTCTCTCTATATAATCCCTGCGTCATTATATTACCCCTATATTACCCCTGTTAGGCCCTTAAAAGGAGGGGGTTGGGCATGTGCCGGCGGGAGTCTACATATTCTTGGCTTTTTCAGCGTATATATAACAGGGCTTCTCTGTCTAGACAGCCGTGACTTTGGAGGGCCTTGCATGGGAGATTCTCAAAATTAGCTACTACACACCCTTGCGTCTTCAGGGGGGCCCATGATCTTCCTACAACTCCCCTACATTCCCTCATAAAGTACCTAAGGGTCCCACATTTTGAGACAGCTCTCGAAAACAGCGAATGCCGTGTTCGGAGGATAAGCGATAAACAGAATGCAACCTGTGGTCCTTCCTTCCCCCTTACAGTAACCCAACGGTAATAAATAGAAGTTATACTGGCTATATAGGGGTATATACAGGGGTATATAAGGGTTAGATGGGGTAAAAATGGGATAGAGGTATATAGGGGTAAAAAGGGGTATGGCCGCTTGATAAAAGACAGCTACTGCAAGGGGAGATGACCCCAAAGCAACCCTCTGCATGTGTAACCAGGGATTTACCAGGGATTGGCCTCCGATCAATTAGGCCTCTACAAAAGGAGGACTCCCCACCCTGTAAGAGTGGTATAATAGGACTATAAGAGGACCCTAGCATAATCCCTACTATCCCTCATAGTCGCTATTACAGGATGGGGGTCTTCCGAACCTCTACAGTACTCCCCTGACTGCTGGCCGACTTACCCCGGTTCCTGCATGCACCATAACTCTCACAGGATCTCAGCCCAGTTGCTGAAACCTACCTGGACCCCCAAAGTATGTAGAATAATGGCCTTTTGGGCTATATTTAAAGATTTTGGGCCATTATTGTACCTACTTTGGAGGTTTAGGTAAATCCTAAACACCCTAAACCGATAGGATCACAAGAGCTCCGGAAGTGTACAGTGTACCTACCCAGCAAAGAAGTCGGTCAATGCACCTCCAACATGGATCATGTCCGGCGTCTCTCAAAGCAGGGTTACCCTAGGCACTCCCGAGATATATCGGAATCACTAAGACCTTCAGGCATTGTGCAGGAATTAATTTCAGGAATTCTCATGCAGCTTAGACATTGCGAGTAGCTTCGCTGGGCCAAGAAACAGCCCTTTCCTGGGCACCGAGAAATTCGCACAACTGCAGAAATCCCAAATTCGCTTCTTAGCTTGGCTACTCTGGCTCAGCACACGGTCAATCTCCTCATTGATCTCCGCAATGCGCGCCTTGTGGCGTGCTGTACGCACGATTCAGGGTTTAGGGGTTGAAGTTTTAGAGTTCAGGTTCTGATGTTGTTCTTTGGGGCGGTTGTGGCTGCGTCTTAGGGCGCAAGTTCTGTTTTTGTCTTTGCGGGGGGTGGGCTACGGCTGGAGCGGTATCCAGGCTTCATTCCCAGGTGCACAGCTGCTGATCCCAAGAAGCCCCTCAAGGGGCCCCCAAAATCTTCTCATGGTCCCGATGCGGAACTATTGGGCTCCCAACCCTAGACCCTGAACCCAAAACCCTAGACACTGAGCCCCTTTTTTGGGAAAAAGCCCTCAGAATCATCCTTGTAATGCGTCGTTCGCATTCTGAATGTTGTCATCCTCGATTCCACAGACCCTCCTGAGCACTATGTGACACAAATTAGGGTTAAGGGTTTAGGGCTTAGGCAAGGGATTAGGGTTTGGGGTGTAGTTGCCTCTGAACAATTAAGTCTTGAGGCTTGGAGAATTCGAACCCCAAAGCCTGAAGGCCCTTGGGAGATAGGCGCGTTGCGAGTGCTCGTAGTATCCCATATAGCAACATAAGCTGTGGTTATAAAGAAGTTGTCTTCCTACCCAGCACTGAAGAACCCTGCCCCTCCCTTCAGACCTTTTCCTGGGGCTTTGGGTGTCAAGGGTTCAGGGTTGTGAGGGATTATATGAAAATCAAATAGGATTGTATCAGAATTATACAGGGAAAATAGTGCAAGAAGGCCTCACGCAGGGTGTGCCAGAACTCGTCGGACATGAGGCTCTCATCCACCTCGGCCCATGTGTGGCTTTCTCGAAACAGCTGCATGCACTTTGGAATGCCATAGGGTTTAGAGTTTAGGGTTCAGAGTTTAGGATTTTGTGTTTAGGGTGAGAGTTTTTCAGGGATCAGAAGGGTCCCCTCTTAGATTTGTAGAGATGGCATGGTGAGAATCGTGCTTAGATTTGTAGAGATGGCATGGTGAGAATCGTGCATATTCTGGGATCCCGAAAAGGGATGGGTGCTGCAGGTCCGTGCGACATTGCTCAGGCAAGCCCCCATGACTTCTAGGATCCCTCCCACACCCTAAGCCCAAGCTCTTGAGACTTTGGGAAGCAGGTCTTGGGGGCTCGGGAGGCAGGAGCCAGGGTTCGAGGGTTCAAGGTCTGGGGTTCAGATTGGGTCGGCTTAAGACAATGAGCGGCTGGGCATGTAGAGATGTAAGGATATTGCCACAATATGCAGCCCTGATGGTCTCCCTGGTAAGCCTAATATTGGCATTAGCTCATGTGGGATTTCACGGGTACGAGGGTTAAGGGTTTCAGGTTTGGGGCTATTCCTTGGTAACCCCCCTATTATCGCACAGGGACTGTAGCTTGTGAATGTCCAACAGTGCAGATACTGGGAATTCACGGCTCAGTATACCTCGCAACGGTGCTGCAGCAAGTGCCCTAAAACTCTGAAGCACTAAAAATAACCTTCAGGACAACTTGTCCTTGCCCGGCCACACCAAGATCGCCCAAAAAGGACTCTGGTCGCAAGTAGGCATCAATCCTTGGTTTCAGGTTCAGGGCTTAGCGTTTAGGATTCAGAGCTTGCTATAGAAGAGGTGTAGGTGTTCAACAAATTGCAAAGGATATCAACCCTTCCCAGCCGTGTCTTTTTGCGGTGGCGGGGCATAATTAGTGAGCTATTACTCTTACAAAGATTATCACGAAAAGGAATCTTACTCGATATCGTCGACGAAGGCATCCCTGCTCAGGGTCCTCTGCATAACAAATGCACCAGGAATTCAGCAAATCCCTCTTCCCCGCACGGTCACCCTCCCTATACTCTCTCTCTCTCTCTCTCTATATATATATATATACATGTATATATATATATATGCACATATGTATATATGTATATATTTATATATGTTTATGTGTGTATATATGCATGTATGTGGATATATATATATATATACACATACATACGTACACATTCGTGAAACGGAGTTTTGTGGAAAGGTTCCTGAACCACAGACCATACCGAGCGTCTTCACACCCTTGTGGATCTCATTGAAAAACCTGAGTCTCAGGTCTTACAGCCATAGCTGTGTGCCCACCCTCCCAAGCAGACGTCTACACGGTTAAGCGTTTATACGGTTTAGGATTCGCCAAAATTCGCTCAGGAATTTAAGCCGGTCTTGTGTAGGTTCCTATCATGGGTAGAGTTAGATCTTAGTCCTTGGGCATACAGAATGGAAAACAATCTTTCGAGAAATCTCTGCATGAGCTACATGGTTGTTCTGTAGTGGTGGGCATGGGGTCTATTGAAAAAGACATGACAGCTTAGTTCAAAGTACCAAACCGAACTCTACGTCTACCCCTACTTACTATTCCCCTGATGTCTAAGTCTCGCTGTAGGTACGAGTTGTAGACTTTAGCGCCCAATGTAGATATCCCTTGTAGACCTAGAGGCCCTAAACCTCAAACCCTACACCCCAAACCGCTCATGTGAGCTATAGTCTAAAC